GCTCCATGTCTTCTTTTAAGATACACTTACATTGTAGTCATTCTGTGGTGATATTTAAGTTCTACTTTGCAATACCTACAGAAGACTGCACTTTCATTCACTTTTAATGTGAATCAATTTTTTTGGACCCTCATAGGCTATGTGCGTCTTCCTTTCGCCATATTTCCAAGTAATCGAGAAGGAAAATTTTGATTGATGCTTTTTAGTAATCGAGTTTAATGGAGTATTCGTGACAGCTCTAATTTATTTTACTCTTATTTTACTCTTGCTCTCCATAGCTTGAGGGTCACAGCACAGGGTCAGCACTCCTGCAGCTGGGGGTTTGGGCTTTGCTTTGGACCCTTGAGCACCAACAGCAGATATGAGCCATAAATCAGGAATGGCACCAGGTTTGAATGAGGCAGGTCCTGTAGGTAACTATCAGACATAAAGGACCTCAGCCAGGCTGCATGGATACCAAGCCTCCTCTTAGCACAGGGACACATTTTTTGTTATAATCAAACATGGAGGAGGGCTTTGCTCCAACTTATAGCTTCATTTTACTTAATTAATGTATATCTGTCTGTACAGCTGCTTCACTCATTGGCTGCTCTGTGAAGCGTTTGCAGTTACAGCAGCACTGTAGCTTACTGACATGGTCTGATAAGCAATGCTTTGATTTTCCTTGGATTTAACCACAATTGTTCAAATTCATTTTGATTCAAACACTACAAAAATGCCTCCTGTCTTCCAGCTGCAGTTACTGTAAACCTCAAAATAGATGGCAATAGTGGGAATTTAAGAAGGAGAATTGTAATAGTAAGAAGAAACATTTATCAGTATCTGAGAGAGCTCTCTGTGTGATTTTAACTTCTCTTTTTCACTACGATCTGTGATAGTGAGCTCCCCCTTGTGGACTGAAACTGTGCATGCAGACAGTGCAGAGGTGCGGCATGTCGGAGTTCAGGCTGCTCCTGTCGCCTAAGGAAACCACCTGATCGCTTTTGACTCTTAATATAATAATTAGTCTTGTATATTTCTTATTATAATAAAAAATACACTAAATGGTGAAATGATGGACATTGAAGGGCTGGAATATTACAAAAAAATGAAATATATTAGTAGAATATTAATTTATTAATTGTCATTTCGAATTATTGTCATATCTGAATTTCACTCTAGCATATTGTGGTTTGAAGTAACTGGATCTTGCACCATCATATTAAAAAGGGGGTGATGTGACGTATTATACAGTGAGTTTTGCTTTTTGGAACCTTGGTTGTGTGAACCGTGGTTATCAGGCTGCGGACAAACGGGTGCAGGGATGTGTTTCCTCAGTCAGCATGAGTTCAGTACAAATGTAACCTGTTAAACGTGGTGTCTCATACAGCACAGTATCTTAATGCAGAATCATCACCACAACACTTTACAGCTTAATTCAACCTTTATTAATATTGCATTTTCTGTGTCTCCAGGTTGCAGTGCTGCTCTGGTGACCCAGGCTGAGGAGGTGGCAGTGATAGAGGTCCAGCCTGGAGGAGCAGCCACTCTGCCTTGTGGGATCCCTGAACATGAAGCAGTGTCCTGGTTTTCCCTGCAGTCAGATCACATACCAGCCAGAGTCATGGACCGCAAATTAAAACCTGGAGGAAAGACAGACCCTGTTAACATCAGAGATGAATACGAAGGGAGGCTGACTCCCATCTTTAACTCCACACACAGTCTGCAGCTGAAGAACATCACTGAGGCAGATCTGCTGATCTACTGCTGCATCCAAAGCGGAAGTCTAAACTTTGGAAACTGTACAAAGCTGAAATTGACAAGTAATTTAACAACGAGTGTTTCGGATTAAGGTCACTATGTATTGTGTGAGACTTTATTACATCAGAATTATTTATATACCAAATATTAAGGTTATACTGATGCCAATATGGAATTCTTAGGGTACATATGAAAATGAAGTCATATATCTATGCATAATGTATAGATTATCAAAAAGAAGGTTTTGATGTGAACTACAGGTGATGCTTGTTTATAACAGAGGTCACTGCTTATCATCCTAAAAGTGATGATGTTTATATTCTGTTTACAGACCATCCTGGTCTCCAGTGCACGACCCTGAACCCAGATCACCTGCATTGTTTTATCCTGATTTGTTTCATCCTTCTCCTCTGTCTCATCTTCCTGGTCTGCTACTTTTATAACAAAGGTCAGACATGTCTGATGTCACTGAGTTTTGTGTTCCCTGTCTGTTTGGTCCATTTGTGTCTCATTCAGCCCCAGACTGGGCCATAACAGATGTGCAGTCTGTCAGGTACAGACACTATAAACTTCCTGTGGGCTGTGTGTTAATACACTGTGATACAGTGTAACTCCGACTTTCTTCCTTAGCTAAAGGCCAGTGGGGCTCAGTGAGTCACACCTCCAGGACTGCTGAGCAGGTAAAGTGCCAAAGTTACATCCAGTGTCAGCTGCCTTGGTGTTAATCCTTACATTAAATATTAGTAATTTATAAATATTCAGGCATCAGCTATGTCTGGAAATCTTTATGTCTGACCATTGTTTATCGTTTTCTTGTTTTAAAACCTCAAACCTGCAGCCAGTCTCTTTCTAACACAAGTGTGTCCAGCATGCAAAGCACAGTGAGACAGTGTGAGAGCAGCAGCCCTTATCAGCAGGGCTGGTAGAGCACCCTGTGCACTCTGTGAATGACGTCACTCTTTACGGTTTCAGCGCTGCTGAGGAAGAGCTCTGACTGACAGCAGAGGGGAAGCAGGACCAGCCGACACGATCAGGTACTGTCACTGACAGGGCTTTCTGTGGCTTTCAGACCACAGTGGGAAAGTGTCTCTGCTTTCCCATGTTTATACAGCAAAATAAACTATACTGAATGTTTAATTAGATTGGAGTATCTTTAGCTGATTTAGAAAGTAAAGCTTTTTCTTTACAGGGAAAACCTGATGAGTTCTCGGATGGAGATCAAATTACCCAAGAAGCGAGACCAAAAAAGAGGAGAAGATGCACAGGATACTGTCTGGGCAACAATTAAGTGACGGGTTTGTTTATTCCTGAAATGCTGAGCACAGAACAGAAAACACCCACCATCTGTAAATTGTAGGATTTATTAAGTTATTTTTTATTTTTTAAATATAACTTAATGACATTAACTAATCCAGTTTGGCAAGATTGATTACCCAGACTTGTAGATAAGCAAGTCTTTACAGGAATTAAATAAAAACTACATATTTGTCTCCACCATAGATTTGTGTTGGTTCCTGCACTGATTTGTTCAGCTCATTCAATGACCAGTGGTACAGTCTGTGAGTAAATGAGTTGGTTCACAGCCAAGATCAGTGAACAAGTCCATCCATCCATCCATCCATTGTCCAACCTGCTTATCCTACTGGGTCGCGGGGGGTCTGGAGCCTATCCTGGAAGCAACGGGCATGAGGCAAGGAACAACCCTGGATGGGGGCCAGCCCATCGCAGGGCACAATAACACACCATTCATAATAACAATTCATAATAAGTTGAAAAAAAATTAATCGGCGACAGAAAAACAGAGATCCTCCTACAGCAACAAGGATCCCTCTTCAGAATGCCTTTTCTGCTCATGAATCTGACTTCATGAACCTTACTTTAGGGCTGGGGGCTAGGAAGTGAAAGTAAACTCACAGCTTTGAAGTCAACTCCAGTTCAGTAAAATTTTTCAGTTTTATAATTTTTCTACCACAGAATTTCATTTTTTGATGTTGCACAGAAAAATCTTTTAATCAACCTCTCTGATGACACAGAGAGTCACTTAGAATAAAAGTCTGGACCTCTTAGTTTGGTGAGTAAAGAAAATCTCTTATTCCAGCAATTCCAGCAAAGCGCTCCCATCACACTCTGGCACTCGGTACCAAGTCACACCCAGCACACAGAGCAACCAGTTGATAAACCATAATTCCCAATAAGGACTTCTAAGTCCAGATTGGTCACAAAATACCAAGAAACCAAGCTCAAACGTATAACAAATAAGTCTCCTGCTCTATTGGTTCACCTTGGTAGCAAGGTAAAATCCACCCATCTTGCTCAATTTACCGGAGTCTGTCTCGGCTTCTAGACTCTACTTGAGATATGCATATAGATATTGATTATATGACATTGAATCACTGTTAATGTTTGGGTGTTCCATTGATTAATGCTTAACACATTAACATATTGTCATTGAATCATTGCAAATACATGGTTAACATATGATTAGTATTATTAACATGATTACTTATACATTTTCAATTGTGTAACATATTATATATTGTCTACTGCAACTATTTTATATGCCATAACTCTTTGTGCATCAGTTGGGGCGGCTTCCAATCTCTTCCTGCAGGTGGTTTCTCCCCCACTTTGCTCCTCTGTCTGCCTCTCCAAGGTCCAAGCTTTCTTCAGGGTCTGTGGAGCCAACTGCAGGCAGCTATCACAAAGCGAGGTCACACAGTATTCAAAACAATCTCTTCTTGCCTAAGGCCTAAGACATAACAGACCCAATATGCCTCCTCTCCTGGGAACACCCACAGGCGACACGAAGGGGCCAGGATTGAACGGAGGAGGAATAGAGGGACGAGGAGCAGACACAGGCGGGACGAAGGGAGGAGGAGCAGACAGGGGAGACCAGACAGGAACGGACGGGGGAAAAAAGGGAACTCGGGGGAGCCCAGGCGGGCGACGGGCAGCGGCCGGAGGGGCCGCAGGTGGAAGGGAGTAGGAGAGAACCACACAGGGGCCAAGGGAACAGGACGAGGGAGAGATGGAGGGGACACGGAGGGAGCAGGAGGGAACACCGGCTGAGGCAGGCAGAAGGGGGAAGCCGGAGCCAGCGAAGGCGCCGTCCAACGCCCCGCCGAAGTAGGGGGGCCCGGAGGTGGCCGACACGGAGCCGGAGGAGGGACCGAGGACCGGCACCGAGGAACCGGGGGAGGGCCCGCAGGCGACCGCCGAGCCGACGGCGCAGGCCCCACAGGCAGCCACCAAGCCACAGCCAGGGAGACTAGGGCCAGTGCTGGGGGGACAGGAGTCTGGACGGGCAGAGCGGAAGAGCCAGGCTGGACAGGCAGAGCGGCGGCCTCAGGCAGTGCCGTGGGCAGAGCGGCGGCCAGCAGGGGGCGCCTCGGCGGGCACCTCGGGCGTGCGGCCAGCAGGGGGCGCCTCGGCGGGCACCTCGGGTGGCGGTGATGATGTAGGCGACGCTAGGACCTTGAACGGTGCTGCAACCGTGGCGACGGAAGCAGGTTGTGTCGCGGGCAGAGCAGCGGCGGCAGCAGCCAGGGGCGCCGTAAGGGGGAGGAAAGCTAGGACGGGGCCCTAAAAAATTAGGAAAATAACTGGATTGGTTTGGACTGGGGGGCCTAATATGATATGCTTTCATGGGGCCCAAAATCTCTAGCAACGCCCCTGGCAGCAGCAGCAGGCGGTGCTGCGGGCAGTGCGGCGGCAGCAGCAGCAGCCGGTGCCTCGGGCAGTGCGGCGGCAGCAGCAGGGACCGCAGGCAGGACTGGAGCAGGCAGATCCGGAATGGGCGCCAGGATGGGCGCCGGGCGAGCAGGCGCTGCCCCTTTAAGGGCTTTAGGGATCTGGGGAATGGCGTGCCAGATGGTCCTAGCCCCCCTATTGAATAGGCGCGATGGCCGGTAGTGGTACGCCTCCAAGGGAGGTTGCTGTTCCTCCTGGATCCTCGTCCTGTAGCGGTGAGTCGTTGGGGAGATCGGTCATTCTGTTACGATTCGGCAAGCAGGCGAGCGGGGAAGCAGGCGAGTAGAGCTAAGCGGACGGGCAAATGGGGTTTATTCGGAGGAGACAGGGCAAACAGGCACGAACTTGCACGAGACTTCACAACATCAATGACCGATCTGGGAGATAGTGGGAGACGTGGACTAATATGCACAGGACCTGTCAAAAGGAAACAGGTGAGCACAATCAGGGATTAACACGAGGTAACGAGGTGGGCGTGGCACACACGAGGATCGGATGGAGCTGGGCGTGACACCCACAGTTTACAAATAATTTTTGGCTACACTGCATCTCCCACCCATTGGCCCAAGAGAACAGAATCCAGGAGGTACACTAAAAAAAAATAATAATAATACAAAAAGTATAATGCCTGTGATGGATTCAGGCTCTAAGACTGAATTGTTTTCAAAGACTTAAAATACCTGATAAAGAGTTAGGCCAAATTTTTAAAAATCTATAAGCCTTCCCTCTCAAACTAAACTTAGAAGTTTTTTTTTAAAAACATAAGATCTTTCAACGAAAGGGATATGGTTGGGGGGGATGTGGGGCTTTCTAGGATAACAATATTCTGCATCGTGCTAACTGAGGTAAAAGCGATTGTGTTCACTATTCACCATTCAGCTGTTCATTATTAGGGGGCATAGTGGGGTCACCAGGAACACCAGAAATAACAATCAATGGACAGGGATCTAGCCTGACTCCTAAAGCATAAGAGATAACATCAAAGTAAAAGATACAGTATGGTTGAAGTCTAGGGCAGAGGAAAAACACATGTGTTAGATCATCAAGGAGGAATTACACTTGTTGCACATGTCAGGGATGTTGGGATAGATGTTACATTATTTAGATTTAGATAAATGCACTCTATGTACTACCTTAAACTGAATAAGGGAATGTCTCGCAGGTGATGATGATGTACGAATCCTGTCAACTACACCATCCCAGTAACCTTCTCTAAACTCTAGACCCAACCTTTATTGCAAATTAGAAATAGTTTTACTGGTTGAATGATCATCCATTGAGAGAACAGTTATATATCTGTGATATAGGAGTTTTCATATGGGGCATAAATTCAAATAAGTCTTCCTAAGGCTGCATGGGGGCGCGATTGGGAAACTCAGGAAAAATGTTGGTGTCTAAGTGTGGTCTAAGTGGTGGTTTAGATGATGTCTAAATTGAAAATAAAATTAATGAGGCCACACAAAGATATCAGAACAATAAAAATGTTGTCTTTGTCAGCCAATGTGTACAATTGAATGTTAGCTACCCAAACTGGGTAAAGAGAGACCTCCACTGAGCCTACATTTCTGTAGTAATGATTTGTGAATCCTGGGAGTCTTACCTTCCCATATACAGTAAATGAGGAATAGGGAAATATAATTAGATCAATAGATTCAAAGAAGGTTTTACTTAAATATAATGGAATACACACTGAAAAAGCTATAAAAACTTGGGTAAAACCTTCATTCTAATTACATTAATCCTGCCAAGGAGAGACAATGGTAAATTTGAAAAGCATGTTTGAAAAGCAGACCATATATAGCTTAGAGGGGTAAAATCCACAGGCCACAAAGCCTTTAGTGAAACATACATTTCAAGGTTCAAGATGTTTATTCGTCACATACAGCACAACTTGCAGTGAAATGTATTTCTGAGTCACCCTATTTGGCTGTGCAAAAATAGAAGAAAAAACGTAAAAAGTAAAGTAGGAGTTAAAAAAAAAAAAAGAAAAGAAAATTTCAATATATCAATACAATCTATCAAATCAAATATAATCGAAATATACAATCCAAATATACAAATTGAAATATAGTGCAATGGTAAGATGATGTACAGACTAAAGCTATTTGTGCAGTGAAGTGAACATGTGCAGTATATGTGAATTCTAGTACAAACATACATAAGTGTACAGAAGGACCAGAATTAAGTTGAATTGAGAAGCCTTATGGCCTGGGGGAAAAAAACTCTTCCTGAGTCACTCTGTCCTAGACATTAGGCAACGGAAGTGTCTGCCTGAGTTCAGCATGCTAAACAGACAGTTTGCGGGGTGTAAGGAGTCCTATATTATCTTTGTTACTGTCCTGCCCCGATCGTCCGCTCCTCTCGTGTGCCCCGCCCCCTCATTAACCACATGTGGATTCCCGGTGTTCATCAGCTGTTTCCGGTTACCGTCATTAGTTCAGTGTATTTAGTCCACGTTTCAGTTTGTTTCCCCAGTCCGGTCATTGTAATGTCAGCCTGTGTTTTGCCTTTTCCTTTTGTTACCGCTTCTATTAAACCCCGTGTTTGCCCCGACTCTTGGCATCCTGCGCCTTTGTCTACGATCCGTGTGCCGTCCAGCGTGACAATGACTCTGGACCTGCAGCGTTTTTTGTAGGTGTCCAGCATGGAGGGC